ACGCAAAGGAGATTGAGTTCTCCACGAATGGGAGTTTGTTCCTTTACTTAATCTAGAACGTCACTTGCTAAAAACGCGGAATTAGACTTCGATGGTCGCGTGCATTATTCTAAAAAGTGTTTTCTCCTAATAACCAGAAATATTTTTCTATTTTAAATTAAATTGACAAGAATTGACTTAAGATACGTATACATGAAAACTTACATTTTATTTTATTTTATTTTATAACCGTCGTTGAACAGCCGACCCAATTTCATGGGTTTACGACTACTTACGTTCAACTCCGTAGCCTTGTAATTTTGAACCAATCCAGAAGACAAGGAAACACCTGGATCAGTACCCCCAGAGGTATTGATTTGTTGTGGGAACATGGAGGACTTTGAGACTCGACAGATTTAACGTGCATCAGTCACCATTTACTACACGGGGAGTCTTCGGCCGGCGAGGATCGAACTCACGACCTCTTGGATATGGGCCCAGCGCCCTACCGACCAGGCTATCCCGGCCGAAAACTTACATTTGTAGAAAAGATAATTTTTCCTGAGTATTTAATAGAACAAGTAAGAGAAGTATTTAATATACAGTCTCTGGCCAAATTATTAGACGCACTATAAGATTCTATGTAAAATCTTAATTATCAGGTAATACTATACAGTTTTATTGTTTTTACGCGACTGAAACCGGTTTGCACTTGTTTACGCTAGTGCATCAATTGGTTGAATTAGACGATATATAATATATATTCGACGATCTAATAAATTCCATGATATATTATATAAATATAGAATATTTAATATATTAGGTATTATATTAGTATATTGTAATAATTAGACCAAATTATTAGAAACACTATAGTTTTTTAATAATGACATGTTTTGCACGAGTTTATATGCAATACTTTTAAATTTAAACATACATGTAATAGGTCTTTATTCAGGAGATTTTTCATAAATTGCCTATTTATTATTAACGTATTGCAATACAATGTTAACCATTAGATACACGAACGCAAACGAGTGCAAACCGGTTTCAGTCACATAAAAACAATAAAGCTGTATAGTATCACCTGATAATTAAGATTTTACATAGAATCTTATTCATTATTATTATTATAGAAGTACCTTATTCCAGCTAACTTTTTATGGTTTGGATAAAAACAACCAAATTTATTATGAATTCTCCTAGAGCAAATAGACGTAAAATTACTATTTATTTAAATTTAAACGATTTTTCATGACTAAATTTGTCGATCTTATAAACAAGAAAACGATATGATTATTTTTATATTAAAAACAAAAATCACATAATAAATATACTGGGTGTTATTAAAACTTTACGTAATAAGTAAGGTAAGAAGTATTACTTTACGTAATAAGTAATAAACTAATATTAAGCACGTAAAGGGGCACTGGTTTCTGATTTGCCTATGATAGCTGACAACAGAGAAATACTGTATGAACAATATTTCAAAAAAATTATCTTATTTTCAATTTTTTTGTATATGCATTAAAAAAAAAATTAGGAGTAAAAATTACCAATGGAAAAATTTCGAATTTGAAATGAAAGTTAAATTTGGATTTAAAAAAAAAAGTAAGTGAAAAATAATTTATTTATAGAGTTCTTGAGGTCAAGAATTATGAGCACGACAGAAAAATACAAAGCATTGTCGAAGAATATTCTACTAATAGTCTTATAACAGAATAGAAACGTTAATTTTGTTTTATGAAAGTTACATATTTTATTGATATTAAATCTTAAATTTAGGTATAATAAAAGTTAAGTTAAAGAAAGAAAGAAAAAAGAAGGGACCGTTGTGCAAACTTAAACATAAAATTAAAGTTAGCATGTGAATTAGCACAAAAAGCGCCAAATTACATTTAAAGATAAATATGATAGTGTGGCAACCTAAAGAATCGTAGACAAAGAACTTGACGATTTCAAAAATAAAACTTAGCATGTGATTCTTTGGGCAATTTGCCAGATGTTGCTTTGAAACTTTAAAACGAAAAGGGAGAATTAGAATTGAAAATTAGAATTTTTCTTGAGAATTCTTAATTTTTATTGTTTGGATAATAATGTTTGTCACATATTTTGTTTTATGCTACTTCAATTTTATGAAAGCTTATCGCATATGCACTTGACATATGCACTGCATATGCATCGCATATGCACTGACAATTTTCTCTCGGATAAGAGCCAGCTTTTATAAAAATACGAAAGCTGCGCTTTAAAACCCTTATTGGTGTCAATTGGCTTAATAAGCCTTTTCTTCCCCAAAATTGGTGTCAATTTTAGATAGCAATAATGTTAAATAGTAATACATGGAGATTTCTGTTTTAACCATTTTCCAGTATAAACTTTAATTCATGATTTTAATTATTTATTTTCAGAACAAATTAACAACTCAAAATGTCTTATTCTACACATTAAATCTTTTCGAAATAATAGTCTTTTTTTCGGTTAGTAGATTCGCGGAAAAAGATTTATTATTATTATTATTATTAAACTCCCGAACTGAAACTTAAAAAAATAAAATTGCCACAATAAGCTCAATCAGTTAGGATTCCTTAGCTTACAAATATTGGAAACCGTCCTAAAATATAATCTTCGACAGTCTCTTGGTATCAAGTGTTTTCTCAGGAAAATAATGCATTCACAACGTAAACCGATATGATTTCTATTTTATTTCCTATTTTTGAAAATGCGTTTCATTTTCTTTATAGTGCCATCTCTCTCTCTCTCTGGTTTGCCTGTTTAGGCAGATGATTGCGATTGTTCTTGTTTTCCAGTGGCNAATTCATATGCACTTGCATAAAAGGGGCATTTTATGCATTTATAAATTGTAAACCTTACTGACAATTTTCTCTCAGATAAGAGCCAGCTTTTATAAAAATACGAAAGCTGCGCTTTAAAACCCTTACTTGGTGTCAATTGGCTTACTTGCCCAAAATTGGTGTCAATTTTAGACAGCAATAATGTTAAATAGTAATAACTAATATCAAATTATAATGTATGGACGCCTACCCGAAAAAGTTTTACATGGCGAATTCTGTTTTAACCATTTTCCAGTATAAACTTTAATTCATGATTTTAATTATTTATTTGTGGAACAAATTAACAATTCAAAATGCTTTATTTTTCACAGTAAATATTTTCGAAATAATTAACATTTTAATAATTATTTCGAATTAATTAACAATTCTTTTATTTCGAATTAATTAACAATTAACGAAATAATTAACAATTCTTTTTTTCGGTTAGCATATTCCAGATAAAAAACTTTTTTTTTATTTATTATACTCCCGTGCTAAAACTTTAATCATATATATATCAACAACATATAACAACTTATATAACATATATATATATATAGTAAATAGTTTTTGCACTTATATTATTTTGTGCCTATATTAAGGTATCATGATAACATTACCAAATTTTGACACAGATCACAAAACAATATTTTTTGCCAATATTTTAAAAAATCATTCAAAAGAACTCGGTGGTTTTTGATGTTCTAATAGATCCAAAAACAAGGTAAATTTTAATATATTCTGGGAGTTTTTACCATTATTTATTTTTCAGTCTGGAAATTAAATTGAAATAATACTAATAATTTTAAATTTAGCAAATTCGTAAACTTTCTTATCTATTATTATAGTTAAGGAACGCTTTATAACGATAATAAATTTTAACTAAATGCTACATTTTCTTAATCAAATAATAATTAATATTTCTGAAGATTTTATTGATAAAAACTAAGACGCTTTGAGCTTAAAGGTTAGACAGGATGTTAAAACTCATTTGCTTAGGTAAATTTTAAGTATTTTAAATGTTTTTAGATTTAAAAAGAAATGCTCAAAAATGTAGAAAACATTTAATTCATTATTTAGGAAATAATTTTCTTTCCTTAGGGAATTTTTTAATGAAACTGCAACTTTTAATAAATTTCACCATATAAGGAACTCTCTTTTCAGTCGTTAATTAAAAAATCGAATTATATAAATTGTAAAACACGAAATCTTCCCGGCTTAAGAAAATGAAACATGCCAAGTTTTACTTTAAAGTAATTGCTTGAAAGCCATTTTAACCTGATATTTGTAAAATATTAATAGCTCCAACCATAATTAAATTATTGTATCCTCTTTAACTGTATTTAATGCATGAAAATTACTTCATTATTTACTTTAGTGGAATTTCATGCAAATCAAACTAGGTTTCTCTAAAATTATATTATGACAGGAATTCACATATAGCTTGATTCTGATGAAATCTAACTTTCATTAGCCTGCTCATTTGTTACAAAAGCGAGAAAGGTTATATTCTATTTATGATCTACGATTTTATTATTTTGTAAATCAATATACACTATGAATTAAAATACATTAATCTTAAATGTCTTAATTCGTGAGCAAAAAGTGTATTTTTTATCATTTCACGTCATCATTATGAGTAATCAATATGTTCTTTCATTGAGATTAATGCACCTTCCAAATAACGCAACAGAAGTTATTCATAAAATTCCATCGATATTTATAAAAATCGAAATCATAATCTGCAGAGGCTGTTGGTTGCGACAGCTGAGATAGCATGAAAAGCCGAGGTAGAAGGATCGAGTATTGGATCGAAGACCGAAGGTAGGAGGACGAACCGGAACAGCTACCCGGTGACGCCCACCTGCAGTATGAGATGTTTACAATCGAAAGTTTAAGTTTTAATTGTTCTTTTGATAACAACTTTTAAATGTTTTTAACGAATAACCTGTTAATTGGAGTTCGTGTCTTGATGGTTTGTTATCTTTTACTATTAAAGAGGATGTTTCATTGCCATATTGTTAAAGATACACCTTACAGCAAGGGGGATAAAAGCGAGTAACAGAGATCCCCCCCACATCATCATCAACAGTCAACAGCCATATTGTTTCATTTGATGTCTTACATTTTGAGTAGATGTGGATATTTTATAAACTTGATATTTTATTAAGCAAAATATTTTAAAAAAAATATTAGTTTCTTAATTTTTTTTAAGCGCTTGAAGATGAAGGGGTAAAATACTGTTTAGATTTGAAGTTCTAATACTGTGTTCCTCAAACAATTCCCTGTGCTTTTCCGAAAGGTAAGGCGTATTATTTTTTTTAAAAAAGATGAAGTTTAAAATTGAATAATATATGATAATCATGGGTGTGCAGGTAAATTAATTGAGGATCTAATATTTGCCAATATTTAGGTGAGGCATTAACTTTAAAAATAAAGCAGCGTTTTTAATACCAAAAATTTTCGACGAAAAGCAACACTATCCGGACGTTAGCCAAATATAATTCCATTTTGCAAATCAAACAAAACAACCTAATCCCTCTAATTAAATTTGTATTTCAATCAAGAAAAAAATTCGTAAATGTGATGTTGCTAAAATTATTAAACGTCAAATTTCGCGAATCTGCAATATTTGAATATTTCTTCATTTTATGTTTTTGTTGACTACAAGGGGAAATGAGTCCAAAATTTAAAATTTTTGATAGATAAACTGTTATGCCAAGCAAGCTTAAATATCGAAATAACTTTGCATAGTCAATGCTATTTTTGTCGTACCCGATTCTAAATACAACACTTAGTTGCTATATAAAATTTAATGCTCAGCATTGAATTTTCAACTTCAAAGATGCTCCGTGACTAAAAAAGTTTGAGAGCCTCTGGACTAGTTTATCAATTTCTTTTCTTTTCAACACTTTGCTGTAAGCAGAAGTTTCTGACATTTCCTCTCAAGTGCATGAAGCGAGAGATAATCTTAAATGCCCACCGCAAAGCTACATACCCTTTTTCTTGATAAACGGATGTCCTTCCCTTATAAAGGTAAATAAAAAAATTAAATTATAGTTATAAAATATCTAATCCTGAGATAATGTTAGTATTTAACTTAGATCTCTTCGTTTCAAATTCAAAAAGCAATAGATTATTCTTTTTTTTATATATAAATTATTTTGTAAGGAATTTCTTAGTGAATCTAATAACATTAAAATTAGTCTCAAAATGCTACTAAAGCAGAGGTGCCTCACTTCGGATAAACCCAAAGAAGAAGAGACATTAAAATTAAGAAATAAATAAATAACATCTATATTTTTGTACAAGATGTTTCATATACTGGATTGGAGGGAAAGTTCTGTCGTATTTCAAATAGGCAGGTGATTTTTCTTGTAAATAAAAAAAAAAACATCTGCCGAGTGAGTCAATCGGATTTTTTTGTTTTTGTTTTTTTAGTTGCTGTATAATATAAGAGGTGCCTTTTTTACCGTTCATCATTTACTTGTGATATTTAAAGAGAAAAACATGTCAGTAGATAAAGTGCATTTACGACACTGCATTTTATATGAATTCCAGAAAGGAAGCATCGCATCGGTTGCATGTAAAAATTTATGTGCGGTATTTGGAAAAGATATTGTAAATGTTCGTACTTGTCAAAGATGGTTTAGCAAATTTTGTTCCGGGGATCTGAGCCTCAAAGAAAGTGATCGATCTGGACAACCATCCAAGATCGATAATGATGTTTTGCGATCCACATCGGAAAATAATCCACATTTAACAAGTCGAGAAATTGCAGAAGAGTTTGGCATTCATCATACAACTGTTGGAGATCACATTAAATCTCTTGGATTTGTGTTAAAGCAAAGTGTTTGGGTTCCACATGAATTAACGGAAAAGAATTTATCTGATCGTGTAACAATGTGTTCATCACATCTGATTAGCACAATGTGGAGCCGTTTTTTGGACAGTCTGGTTACTGGAGATGAAAAGTGGATTCCTTACAAGAATATTAAGAGAAAAAAATCTTACTGCAAACTAGGAACATCATCAGCAACAGTTCCAAAACCAAGTATCCATCAACGAAAAGTAATGCTTTGTTTGTGGAGGGACAGGGAAGGTCCAGTTTACTACGAGTTGCTGAAACAAGGAAAAACCATCAACGCTGATCTGTACTGCAATCAGCTGGATAAATTGAATGCAGCTATCAAAGAAAAAAGGCCAGCATTGGCGTCCAGAAAAGGAACAGTGTTCCACCACGATAATGCTCTTTCACATACTGCAATGGTGACACTACAAAAACTGAATGCGTTAGGATGGGAAATCCTTAGTCACCCAATTTTATGTACTTTTGAAAGAGTTACGTAGCGTGAAAATATCTTTTGTGATGTAAGTACTTTTTTTGGTATTAGAATATTATATTGTAACAAAGTAATTTTGTTTAAACAAATAAAAATTACTAACCGAATATGTAAGTGGACACCTTAATTAACATTTCAATAAAAGAAATTTGTTTTGTTAATTAACTAGCATTGTTTTTAACAAATGAAGCTTAAATGGCGTCTTGGGGACGATTGTAACAATAAGTAAAGGGACGATTTTAACAGCTGAAAATAAATAATCTTATGTTTACAAACCATTACTTAACTCTTTAAGAACCACCAATAGTTTCCTATATCATTTATATTATGTTGCATGTGCATTATTTTATTTGTCACCTTTCACAGCATAAATTAAAATTTTTAACCCCTTAAAGTTAAAAGTTTAACCCTTTAGGTCTCTGCTCATTATTATTTTTACTCCTAAAATATCACTACTATTTTGATCAATAAAAAAATATATCACAACTATGATAATATGTATAATTAACTATGTTTTAGTTGAATTTATGAACTGTTACAATTGACCCCGTAAGTGGGGACAATTGTAACAAGTGCACGACTGTCAAAAATTGTTAATAACTAATATAATAATATTTAAAATCAGGTATTTATTTTTTTTCTAGTAGAGGATAGTCTACTTCACTCGTCTGTCAATTAATACTAATAATATATTGGATTTTTTGTTAGTTAAAAATAGTTAAGTAAAAAATGTTACAATTGACCCCACTCTCCCCTACTGTTCTCAAATGAAGTTATATATGGTGAAAACGAGTCAAAAATTGAGGAAAATGCTATCATTTTCCATAATCCATCTCCTTCTCACTTCCGTCAAACTGATCCGCTTTCGCATTACGAGAAGGGGAAAACCACGAAAGCATCCCACGGTTAGCCTGATGGCAGGAGGATTCTAAACCATGATCATAATTGTGATCCATGACCATGATTCTAACCCGTATCACTGTGGATATTTTATGTCAGCACTGTGGTCGGTGCGAGTCGGGTGCAGAATGCGTACCGATAAGCTAACGCTGAAATTCGAACATGAGTCACCTCATTAAATTTCATGTTAAATAAGCAGTTACTCACCGGAGAGCTTCAGATGACCGTCAACTGATATTAAATTGCAAAATAAAATGACCACCTTTCGCTATAGTATAATAAAAGTTTTGGCTATAATTTTAAAAACTCTGCCTTTTCTTAAAAAAATTTGATGTGTAAACTGGCATTGATAAATTGAATCGTTCGGCAAATTTAATTTTTGAAACTATCTCTTTGTAGGTAATAGTGTAGGCAATTCCGTGACTGTATTACTGTTTTAAGAAGCCTTAACTTTAAGACGATAAACATCACAATCCATTAAGTGATAAATTGGATTGAAAAAGCAGATAAAAATTCAGTGTTTGAGAATATAGTGTAGAGAATATGAACAAAAATAAAGCGAAATATAATCGTGAACAAAACAAATATTATGAAATCAAAGTTTTAAATTGTTTCTAATTTAGGACACTTACTTTATCACTTACTTCATTTATTATCACTACTTACTATTCCATTTCATTTTGTTTTGTAAAGTTAAAGTACAGAGTTAAAAATTAAATTATATTAAAATCTTAAACAAAAAAGTAAATTCATGAAAAATATCTGTATGGTAAAATTGCCATGTCCCAAAACGAAATTGCTATAATATAAATTTTAAGTTGACAGATTATTTAACTTGTGTATACAACAAAAATCTATCACCTCCTACTTTCAAATTAAATACATTTATTTTTTCATACCAATTATATCTCAAACCAGCATTTGTTGACACTATTTTTAAAGATTTTTAAAACGTCGCATAATAAACTGCCGTTGTAAAACGAAAAACTTCCTCGAAACAGATATTATATAAATTGACAGGCATCGTTATAAAAAATACCAAATATTTTTAACATGCTTCAACTTTTGCAAATAAGTTTCCATTCTCTATAATTACCACATTTTTACTCTCACTTAGTTGTCATACTTAAAAATAATGATACAACGACGTTACTATAAGGCAGTCATTTTCATTATACGTGACAGTTTAGATTTTTTATTATTTTTTTTAAAAAAACTGAATTTTGCATGAATTAAAAGCTCAGAGATACTGCAGTAAAGACTTTTCTTAAACAAAATTTTAAGATAATGAAAAATTGAAACTTTCACTGTTTTTTAAGTTTTACGCTATGGAATGTTTGACATTCTTGAAATAAATGCATATATTATGAAAAGATTCAATCTATATTATAATAATAACTTTACATTATAATAATAACATCAAAAAAACTGAAAAATTTTTATGACAAAGTTTAAAATAATTGTCTTGTGAAATTATTTTGCTCTCATTTCAAATTCTTCTAAAAATAATGTTATAAGCAATAACGAATGAAAATATGTTTTTACTAACGATGCATAAATTTATTTATTGATTTTTATTTGTGTATCGTCCAGAAATGCTTGAAACTATATATTTTAAAATTAAAATTCCAATTTTTATAAATATGAAAAGCTTCTCTAATATAATATTAAATTTTTGTGCACTTAAGTCTAATATTGTAATTTTTGATAAATTGCATGCAAGATCTAAATAAACTACACAGAAAAAAGAATACAACAAAGCGTTGTATTTGCAACAATTTTAAGAAATTCAGAAACTATGGCTTTTAATAGAAACTTGGCATGTCGTGAATATCTATTTTAGAAACTTCACACATGTATGAATAAAAAACCGTAAATTTTCCCTTTTTTTATTAAAACTTTTTTTTATCTTCATAACAATTAAAAAGAAAGTTATAAAATTAATGGGATTACTTCTTTTTTTCGGTTAAAAAAAAGAACCCCTCATAATCATTAATGACTTTATGATATACTTATCAAGAGCGTTGAAACAGAAGTTATTAAAACATTTTTTTTAAGT